TATATTCGTTCAGAACAGTTTCCAGGGAGCAGTTCTGAACAGCTCCGATAATGTTAAAAATTGAGGGAACAGCAGACTTTGACAACTTTTTCCCATTCACTTTTATATAACTAGGAAAATGTTCGTTGCAGATAACATTCGGATTGGGTCTTTTCCAATCTACTAGGTTTAACCATTCCTCCCGAATAGAGTGTAAAATAACTCCGGGAATGGAACTATTTGAACAACAATATTTCACTGAGCAATATATCATATTGACGAGAACTGAAGAAAAACATGAGAAGGACTAAACTAACTTAAATTTCTCTTTACAGACTCATGTTCACCCCAAGTACTCAATGACATAACAACAGCCAATGTTCACAACCGACCTAGTTAATATCTATGTATATCTATATAATAGGAATATCTTTAAAATATCTCTGTATATTTATATCTTTCAAGATGAAAAATGTCGTCTTATGAGCAATCTATCTTTATCTATGGTTGTAGACCTTAGATATTTCAAACTATGAATTCTGTTAGATCAAATATTCTGAATTTGAAATATCAAAGGTTTACAACATCAGATTCCAAAGGTTTACATATTTGAGTTTATGCCAAAGACTCAATTCCTTTATAAATTGACTGTAAGAAAAATAGAAAAATAGAAAATAGAATACCTTTATTACATCTTCCATCATGTTATAAGCATCTAATATGTCAATGTTTTGTTTTTGCAAAAGTTTTAGTTTAAAGTATCTTAACAGTTTGTGTTAACAGTGAATTTAGACAAATCCTAAGTCTTTGTCATTGTCAGGTGTTACTTTTTAAATTTGTTTCCTTTTAATTTTGTATTTTCCAGGGGGGGCAGGGCCCCCCCCTGGAACTCCCAGGGGGGGGCAAGAGGACTACTGCCCCCCCCCTTTGTACGCCACTGTTGGGTTTGATTGTTATAATCGTGGATACGAATGTTGAGGATGGATTTTTGAATTGGATACAGGTTGGATTTGATTGTTGATCCAATCTGGATACGAATGTTAGGCTTGGATTCAAATAAGAAAAGTTATAATATGGATACGAATGATGAGGATGGATTGTTGATCTAATCTTGATACAAATGCTAACATTAACATGTATATCCATCCTTAACATTCATATCCAGATTGAACATTATAGCATCTAGATTGGATAAACAATCAAACACAACCTGGATCAAATTCATAATTCATCATAACATTTGTATCCATCTTTTTCAACATACTAAAATCAACATTAATATCCAACCTGCTAGCGTACTAGTGATCAAACCATTATGTAATCATCCTTTAACTCTAATCTATATCAACATTTGTATCCATCCCTTAACATTCATCCATCCTTAAAATTTGTATTCTAATTGGAACATAAGTTGAAATTGACCTGTATCAGATTCATAATCCATTTTGACATTCATATCCATACATCTGAATTTCGCAAGAGCAATGCAGGGTGTTGATGATGGATTAGAATCGGACCAGGATTAATAATTATTCCCCCACAGCGACAAGAATCAAAGATCAGCATGAACTTCACCCATCAGCTGATGATAAACTGGGACTCTACACAGCTACAGAAGAGGCTGACTTTGATCATGTAGCAGGGTTGAAAGGTTATACTAACCTAGTCAAAAGTCTATGCTGTATATCAGGGAGATGTTTGTTGTGAACTCAATGAACTACCCATGGTGGACCATCATATTCATTGACAAAGTCAGAAAATGAGTTCCAAGATCTAACACAACTAGGAGGGTTTGAATATTTCATCAAGAAGTTTTGTGAACCTGTCCTGCAAGTTCTCCGTTATGTGGCAGTGGGTATTCTGGATCCTGTGCATAGTAAGCCTGTTGTAAGCCGCCTATGCCTGTGCAAATGGATAATAAAGCCCGGGCGGATGTTTTACTCAAGTTGTAAGGCGATGTCCGCTCTGAACCATACTGTCAATCCTCCGCCGCACACAGAAGAGGTCTACCTAATGTTGGAGTCTGGTTCACAAGCAAGGCAGGAGGAGAAGGATTATGTGAGATATTGGAACCTATGCAGCGTGCATTATAGGTTCCTATATCAGGTAGAGGATGTAAGCATGGAGACATCTAGGCTGACTTATGCATAAACAGTGGGACAGATGACAAGTCTTCTCATCTGTATCATGTAGGGATATTTATCCGTTAAGAAATGCCAACTCCTCATGGGAAAGCAAGCCACAGTTGAAACCGGGAACTAGAGAATTAATCCATCCCATAGGGGATGAACAAGCAAGGGCGTATACAGGGGGGGGCATGGGGGGCAGTCCTAGACTTGTAAAGGGGGGGCGTAGCCCCCACCCCTAGAATTCTGCAAGCCTTTCACACTTTTCAAATCTTAACTGAAGAGTGAAGAACACAAAAAAAATAAGTTTGCTTTTCATGATTATTATAAAAAATCAAAATTTTAAAATATATATAATTACAGTGCAGTGCTCATATGCTGTAACCAAGTTAACCTAACCAACCTAACCTAATTTTAACTTTCAAGTTCACAGAGTACACAGAGTTTAGTTGGGTTCAGAGAACACACAGTCTGCATACATTTGTACAGCTCACACACTTTACATTATATGCTAGTCTTTTTCACAACAGAAACTTTTACAAGTCATAATTATTTTCTGGACCTTTGTACTTCTTTTCATCTCATAGAATTTAAGTTTAAGTTAAGTTTTTATTTTCAAAAATGTCTTTTACTATCTCTAGTTTAAATACTAAATATACCTAAAAAGTACAATAAAATGTCGATTTTTTAGAAACAATGTTTTTTTCTGCTAGTTTTGTTTGAAGGAGAGATAAAGTAGTGCTTAGAAGGTAATTATTTGGACTGTATGTGTGCCTTTTAAGTATCTTATACTTATGCCTGATATCCAAGAAGCCAAGTGTTATGAATTTACAGTTCGAATTTTGCCCCCCCCCCCCTAGGAGCTCCTAGGGGGGGGCAAAAATTTTTTTTGCGCTTTGCGCAAATCTTGCCCCCCCCTAGATTTATTTCTGCATACGCCCTTGTGAACAAGGGCTTGAAAACAAGGTAGGCGGAAAAGGCATGACCTGGGCTATAACAGTTAAAACAAGGACCAGTTGTGACAAAGAGTCGGAAGAGGATCTGCAATGAGAGCTCCGGCTTTCTATGAGTCAATGATTCAGTAGGAGTATCATTTTATTTGTTCATTTTTTACTTACATTTTTTCCTATACTCTGTGGATTTACTTACGTCAGTTTTAATGCAATTTATTTACTTTATTTCATTCCACTTTTTAATGGTAACAGTATGTCGCCTCAACTCTCTCTTATCCAACGGAGGGTTTATGGCCACTCAAAATTATGCCCGGAGAAAATGCCAACATTTATTATTTTGAAAATGTGCCAATTCAAACAAAAAAAAATGCCCAAAAATTTAATAGTGATGTAATTTCAAGTTACCTCTCATTTCCATGTATACATGTCTAATACCCTTTAACTCTTAGTTTGAGCAAAATAAAAGGGGTATCTAGTTATCCTTGTTTTTTTTTTGTACAAAAAAGTCCTCAGAAAAAAAGTGAAAATGCATGATTCACCATGGAAAAAAGTCCTTATTGTAAACATCCTAACAATGATCGTAGATTTTCAGGGGCTTGATATTAAAAAACCCCTATGCTATATCTATTCAATATGCAGACACATGAAAACAGTCCTTTTTTAGAAAATAATTTTCAAAAAATAAGTATAAAATATATTTGTTACATATGTACATATTTAGAGTATTTCCTTTAGCATTTTATTTAGGAATATGAAACTAGCCCTGTTTATGATGTACATAGTACACTTGTATTCCTTGTATGCGCGGAATTCATATACATAACCTTTCATTAAGGACTTTTTTTCTGCAGACTTAAAATACTGAGTTAAAATTTCCCGAGACATTTTTTCCGCAGACTTAAATTACGGAATTCAAATTTCCCTAGACTTAGGACTTTATTCTAGGTTTTTCTTTTCCTTTGATTTCTTTTCTTCCGGACTTTTATTCCTGTGATTTTTTTTTTCCTGAGACCTTATTAGCCCCCCGGCCATACTATTTTCCAGAGACCTTATTAGCCCCCCGGCCATACTATTTTCCTGAGACCTTATTAGCCCCCGGCCATACTATTTTCCTGAGACCTTATTAGCCCCCCGGCCATACTATTTTCCTGAGACCTTATTAGCCCCCCGGCCAGACTATTTTAGGTAAAAATGTCCCAGGATCTTTCATAATTAACGTGAAAGCATGAACGAAACTTTCCAGGAAAATTTTGCTATTTTTCCAGGTTTCATGTTCCATTTAATCAACTTTAAAAGTTTCAAAAACACGAAATTCTTTCCTAATTTTGTTTGTTTTTTAATTCGTAATGGTGTATCTTTCGACCTACGCACATCCGCTATGCTGTCTGACCTACGCATTATCCACTATTTTCTACATTTCCGACTTACTAGCACGTAGTTTAAACAGCTGCTAGTTGGACATGTGGCCGCAGCGCCAGTCCCTTAGCCTGTTTTAGCCGCTGCGCTCGTGCCAGAAATAGTCTTTCCCCAACCTAACCCTCAAATAATACAAAATGAACAGAAAGGACGTAGACGACTGTTATTTCATACTGATTTGGTTACTTGCTTTTGCAGTCAATATCCTGAAACAAAATGTTAATAATTGAAAATGAAATGAAAAGCTACAGGAGCTCAATCAGATCCTTTCTAGCTTGTTAATATTTGATGGAAAACTTAAAGATATGTTGGAAAATATCTTTTAGTTTTGTATCCAGGATGCAACAACCAAGGATTTAATGCAAGGAAAGTTATTTCGGAGGTGTACGCATCTTTTGTACTGCAGTGTACTGTCACTGGGCGGTAATGTAAACACAAGATGGATGTCAAAGCCTGACATGGGATCCATCTTTCACATAAAAAATCAATGAAATATTCTGGTCATAGGAAACAATTATGTGAATTATCAAACTTTTAACCTCCTCGGATACTAAACGAACACTGATGCATCAATTCTTGTTTACAAATTCCGCCCAGAGAGAACTGGTTTCAATATGTACGTAGGGTATACGCGACCCCAATTAACTTTCCTTGCATTACATTCTTGGCAACAACAATGTAAAATACAAGAATTTCGTAATAAGTTTCGTTTCAAGAAAATATTCTACAGAAACACTTTAATAATCTTAACAGAAAGTTATTACAGAAAAAAACCTGGAGTGAATGTGATTCAATTGAATATAGAACTTTTTGAAAGAATTTTGAATTTAAGTATTTTGAAAATGACAAAAATCTGTTTTAAGGTATTCAGTAAGTTAACAGATTACAATTGTATCATCTTTCGAAATGAAAATGCAAGATGTTTGCTCGACACTTTAATCAAATTATATTCTTTGGATGAAAATGTGGCTTTTAGTGTTGACTTAAATTTATATAAATAATATAATACATGTATATTAAACTTATTTTTAAGTAAACAATTAACAATAAACAAATGTACTCTCCTAGACTGTACAAATACCGAGATTCTTAATTCTTATGTACTGTATTTACCTACAGTAATCGCCTTCGGTTCGTTATCACTTACACACACTCTTTTGGTACAGACACACATACATGACGAAGGCAGGACAAAGCGGGGTGTTATTTAACCTAATTGCTACAAGGGACAGTCAGGTAACTTTCCAACCTACAGTTTAGGGAACCATGTGTCGTCTTCATATTTCACAGTATAATATTAATCTGACCTGAAAGGATGAGGATAAACAAGAGATGACTTCATACACATATTCAAACTAAAAATAAATTAAACTACGCGATTATTTCAAAACAATGAAGACGACTTTTTAAATTAGGTTTAGATTGTTTACAAGATTTTTTCAAACTACAAGTGTACAAGTAATTAAAGGAAGCTTTTTGATCTATAGCTTCTCTTTGTTTCCATTTTCAAGTGTATCCCATGCTGGTTAAAAGCTTTATTTCAATCAAAATTGAAATCGAAAATCGTCTTCATTGTATTGATTTAATCGCCTACCGCTGTAGGTTGGTAAAATAAACGGAATTATCGATATTTTGTACAAAATTTTCTACATTTTTGTTCGCTTCATATTTTAGGTAAAAATACACATTAAATTGTGAACAAAAAAATTAAGAATATTTCTTGAACATTAAAAAAAGCTCAATTTTTTCTATTATAAATAAAGAAATGACAAAAATATGAAGTGTAAATCTGCAAGCATTACTTAAAACCCAATTTTTTCTTTTTTCATTTCTCTTTTATTTTTTTACGAATTTCGGAAAACAACAGAATAAATATTTTACCATAAATTTCGAAAATTTAGTGCAAAATATCAGCAGTCCAAGTTTTCTTCATACCCTGTATATTTGTATTACCGTATTATTTCTTACATTATATCAGAAAAATACATTATAAACTTTTTAACAGAAGAAATAAAACAAGAAGTTTTTATCTAGTATTCGAGTTAAAGGGAATATCAACGTATTTTCCAGTGAACCCAAAATTACAGAGTTCCATGTCCTATTTACAATGGTACACATTACACCAATATCTGCATAACAATGCGAAAAATACCAGAGTTTTCTACGTGTTCAATTTCCACGTCAATTTTCCAATCGCTTTAGAAAAGAAAAATCGCCCCTTTTCAAGTAACAAATTATAGAGGTTGAAGGGAGGTCTCAAAATCTGGCTAACCTCAACCCCAAAGAAATCCTTCTGACGATCTTGAAACACGGAATTTACAAGATGAATGACATTTTGGGTCCAAGGAAACCCTTTTAAAGGTCATTCAAGAGGCCCAAGGATATCGTAACCGCCAAAATTCTCATGCAAACAGCAAACAGCCTCTATGGATTAATTTTACACACTTTTTGTCTTCTTTATTGTAAATCTTTCATATTGGAAATCTTTATGGCACCTTTTTTCAATTTCAAAGTAAAATTAAGCATTTGCATAATTTAGTTGAACGCACTGTATAGTGTGAATTAAATATCCATGTTTTTGATATTTAAAACTGTTTATTTTTACTTTTCAAGTCAAAAAAACGTTGTCTTCCACATTTTTGACCAGATTAAGTGTTAAGGGTACCGTTGTAAATCAGAAATCGCTATCTTTGCATGAAGGGTCACAGAAAATTACGCTTACAGTCTTTTTAAGAGTTAAATTATAATTATTTACAACTAAATTACACGGAATTTTAATTTACCAAGGGTTTCCAAGACCAATGTGGCTTACAAAATATCCAGAGCGCAGCGAGGGATGTTTTAATGGAAAAATTGGTCGAGGGAACCCGTGGTTAAGTAGAACGTTGAATTCCCGATAAAGTATTTGTACACAATTTTATCATCTTTTGAAATAAAAATGAACGAATCTTTTTGTATAAAAACTTCGCAGAGCGGGTAGTTTTTTTTACTGAATTGTCCCAAGGGACGTTAAGTAACTTAACCTCCCTCTGTTGGGGAAATCATAGGTCGGTTATGTTGTTGAAAAGGTGGTTAAAAATAATTATTAATCAGAAATCGCTATCTTTACATGAAGGGTCACAGAAAATTACGCTTACAGTCTTTTTAAGAGTTAAATTATAATTATTTACAACTAATTTACACGGAATTTTAATTTACCAAGCGTTCCTAAGACCAATTTTACTTACACAATATCCATAGCGGAGCGAGGGATGTTTTAATGGAAAAATTAGTCGAGGGAACCCGTGGTTAAGTAGAACGTTGAATTCCCGATAAAGTATTTGTCCCCACAATTTTATCATCTTTTGAAATGAAAATGAACGAATCTTTTTGTATAAAAACTTCGCAGAGCGGGTAGTTTTTTTACTGAATTGTCCCAAGGGACGTTAAGTAACTTAACCTCCCTCTGTTGGGGAAATCATAGGTTGGTAATGTTGTTGAAAAGGTGATTAAAAATAATTATGTACTAACCTCTGTTCCCTCCTCAGGTCGACTAGGAATCATGATAAAATGTGTTCCAAGAATAGGAATCAAAATAAAAACTGCTTTAGCCTACGAACCCAAAACATGCTTTAATTTAGGAATGTAAACAATGCGGAGATAGTTGTGTAGGTTTAATTTTATCATTGCGTTGTAATGTTGAATGATTAATTTTTTTAAAGGAAATAAATATTTTAAGAAGTGGAAATTTCCTCCATTTTCATAATTGTCATTTCAACATCAGGATATTTTATTTAAATGAAAATAATGAAGAAGTTTGATTCAGATACTTGAAATAAATCAGTTATTTACAGTTCAGTGATCTTGAAATTTTGTAACTGTGTAAGATTCAACAAACGATTTTATCCATTCTAGTTATTTTTTATCCACTTTTGAACACTGGTAAACTTCCTGGCTTTTAAGGGTTTAGAAGATGGTCTTAATAGTAGAAGTATAATTAAGCTTAATTTGGTTTAAATTTTAAACATAAATTTTGAAAGGCTTAACATTTAACAAACTCACCGATTATTATTTCTATAAAGTTATCTTTGCATGGAGGGTTTAGGGCTGGGCACGTTCCAGCTTTTTCTAGTTGTTTCGTTAACGGTTAGTTCCAACCATTAAAAAATAAAACGTATTTTTCGTTAATGGTATTTTCCGTTTTTTAAAAGTTACCATTAGTTAACGATCTAAATTTTATTAATGGGGTTATTGGAAACTGATATTCTGGCTTTAATAGTTTTTTTTGCAATTATCCTTAACGGTTTGTCAAATCGTTAACAGTGCAAGCCTTTAATGGTTGTTTGTAGTATTAACGGTGTTAACGGTTTCCCAAAACTACAAAATTTCCATAAAAAAATCGTTTTAGTTTTTCAAACTGGATTTACGGCACAAGCCGTCACCGAATTGCAAAAAAATTATTAAAAGTTCCATCATATAAATGGGTGGGGGGGGGGTTTAAAATTATCAAAATAAATTTAAAACATTTTTTTGTAAGTTTCATGCAATTTTAGCCGAAAAAGAACGAAAGTTGCCGTTTTAAAAAAAAATTTGTTTCCTTCTCTTTTTCAACCGTTATTTTTTTCAAAAACGGCTAATCCGTTTCGTTAACGATTTATAGATTAACGATTTTTGCCGTTGGTTCAGGGAATCTTACGTTAATTTTCGAAAACCTCCGATTCGTTAACAGAACTTTGCCCAGCCCTAGGTGGGTCACTTGAAATTACGCTTTAAGGTTTGATTCAAAACAGTTCTTGGTAGAAATTAACTAGATTTGTTTTCGTCTAAATTTTGAAAATAATATATCTAGTGCTTTTTTCTAAAATACAAATAAATGCAACAATTGATCTCAGTTAAAGGTTCAATTTCTACTTCTGAGAAACGCTGATATCTATTTCTCTTTAAAAACATCAAACAAAATGAAAATTAATTTGATTAAATTTCGTTTTTCTCGCGATCTTTCCCTTTTAATTATGGATTTGTAACTTTTGAATTTTTGTTAATGATAAATTTTGAATTTTAGATTCACTCGAATAACATTGATTAAAAATCCCTATTTAGAAACTAAGCTCTCTTTATAATCGAGTTTATCAAAGAAGAAACTGGGGGCTGATTAAAAAGTTTTGGAACTGATTAAATAAACGGGGAACTGATTAAATAATCCTGGGACTGATAAAATAATCCTGGGGCTGATTGAATAATCCTGGGGCTGATTGAATAATCCTAGGGCTGATTAAATAATCCTGGGGCGGCTGATAAAATAATCCTGGGGCTGATTAAACAACCCTTTAACTAATGAAATAACCCTTTTTTTGAACGGTTTCATAAATATTAAATAAAACTTACTGCCGAAAAACAATTAATTGAAGATAAAAATTAAATAGCAAAAAGCAAAAATAGAGTTTTCAATCACAACACATTTTTTTTATCCATATTTTGTTGAGAAGTCTTGTTAATTTTATTTATTTATTTGAATCCAATTTTTGAGAAAACACCAATTATATTGGAAGCAAAGAGAGAAAAATAAAAAAAAAATTATGATGTTTTGTTTCCCTGTTGAAGTGTCGCAGCATTAGCTCGGCTGTAACTGTTGGACCTAGGAACACCTCTAAACGAAAAATAAATCAAAAATATTTTTTTAAGGGGACCGTACACAGTACTTCAATTGAACCTATATTCAACAAGAGTGGCATGTCCGATTCGCAAATTTATTTTGGTAAAAATGACGAAAATATACTTGTTTTGCTTTCTGAAAATTAATGTGCTCTTCTTTAAAAGAGAGTTGCGGATTTTTTGAGTCAAAGAAAAATAATGAAGTTACATTTTTTAAAGGGACTGTTCACTTATTTGGGTAATTTGAAGGTAAACTAAATAGCCTATTAGCTATTCTTTGTTATTAGTCTTACTTTTCAAAGACAACCGTGGCCTGAGAAAAAGCCGATTTATCAATCAGAATTTCAGAGCAAAGCTAAGGTATATATGATAACTTTGCATAGACACTATTTAATGCTTTTTGACATAGTCATGGATTTCTTTTATTTTTAATGATCAAATTAAATTGTAGTAACTTATAGTTAATTGTAGATATCTTGATTTTTTTTCAAAATTATTTTTAAATTGTCTATTTTCAAAATATAACTTATTTTAAAAATCAGACAGTTTCATACGTTTTCTCTACTTTCCCAGAATTCCCCGTGATTTATTGAAAAGTTGGAATCTAGGAACCAGTTTGTCTGAGATAGAAAGTCGTCTTTGTTTAATACGTGATAGCTTGTTAAACGTTAATTTCTTGCTAATTCTAAAATCAAGAGTTTTCATATATTATTGTATAATGTCTGACACATGATGTCCTTCATGTTACTGAAAAATCGTTTAAATAGTGTCTATGCAAAGGTATCATACCTTTCCGCCGGAATTCTAAACGATAAATCGGTCTTTTCTCCGGTCATAGATATCTTTGAAAAGTTAAACTAATACCAATGAATAGCTACTAGGCTAATTCGTTTACCAGAAATTAACCAAGTAAGTGAACGGTCCCTTTAGATCTAGAAGAACGATAACATCTTCCATATTGTTGACCTGATAAGAAATTGGTATCATACATTTAACTCTTTTCTTCTCTGATCTTTTGTGTGCAGAAAAAAAAATAAAAACTAAAATTTGAAAACTATCAGTTGTTTAAAGTTTTGATCCTCCAATTTTTCTAAAAACGAAGGTTTGTTAGTTTTAAAAATAAAAACGAAAGAAAAAACGACCTCAAAGCTGTGAAAAAACATCGAATTAACATGATTAAATTATGATTTATTGAGATCTTTTTACTCCACAGTTGTTTGGTACTTCCTATTTAATTGTTTTAAAAAAATCTTTAAAAATTAAAAAAATATAAATTTACACAATTAAAATATGTCTTTTCAGATTAGACCAAATCGATTCTATCCAATGTTTATTAAAATCATTTTCATTGACACATTATTTAAAATTAAAAAATTAAAAAAAAACATACCCATGCGTGGACTGAATTGGAGAACTTATATTCAGTTTTCCTCTTAAAATCCTGAATTAAATTAAATTGTTTATAAAAAATAATACAACATAAAACCTTTAGAAACTTCTCTGAAAGGGTGTGTTGACGATATTGAAATGAACTTTGATTTATTGATGCTGTTAATTAAAAGTGGAAAATGGTGTGTACCCAGAACATTTGGAGAACTATTATAACTTTTAAGGCTTCCAATCCAAACTCCGACTATTAACTGATCCATCTGAGCAGATATAGAAACACTAAATGTTTGTTTTTCCAGTGACTTGTTTATTTAATTAGGTTTTGTGTTACGGCCATTTACTTCATTATTTTCCTTTCATAGATCATCTTACGCACGCTTAATCTTATTTATTATCTTCCAATCTTAATTTCAAGTGACCTCAACAATTTAAAATGTGGCATACCCAATTTATGAAAGTACCCTCAGTTCCTTTGACTGAAGAAGAACTGTGTATATATCTCTTAAATGCTGTGTTAAAAGCCGTAAAATTGAGTGTACGCTAGGGTACTGTGTGAACTCTACACGGATGACGTAACATTTATTCCTTGAACGCAGTTTTCAAAAATTCTAATGTGAATATTTTTTTTCCTTAAATATTAAACCACTTGCAAACAAAGTTTTCAAGAATTAGAATCCTGTAGATTAATTAGGAAAGTTTATGATCCTTGATCAGTCGAAGGGATGAACCTCTTTAAAGGGAAGGTCACATGAAATAACGCAAACAGTCCTTTGAAAAAAACTGAGGTGTAACAGTTAGGCTTGTATCAGGGGTTTGGAATTTGGCACTTCCAGACTTTTCTCGTATTTCACAACAATATCAAGAATTAAAAAATGAGCCAAAACCCATAATCTTTTTAACATTATATTATTTCGTGGAAACGCAAAATATTGAACCTTAAAAATCTGTCAAATCCATTAATTGCGCGGTTTCTAAACGAAACAGAAGTTCATTCTGATTTGATTCTTTTTGGATTGTATTTACACTTCAAATGATATATAAGAAACATTTTTCAAAATCTCTTTGTTTATAATTTGATTATACAAATTATTAAGGGATAGATATTAAAGTTTGCCAAATTGATTTTAATCATAATCGGATATACAGGGGGGAAGGGGTTTAATCGACTGTAACAATTCAAAATAGGAGTTCTCGTTAGAAATTAGCTTGTTTCTTAGAGAGAAGCGTGTTTGTTAGACATAAGCGTGTTTGTTAGAGATAAGCTTGTTTGTTAGAGATAAGCCTGTTTGTTAGAGAGAAGCGTGTTTGTTAGAGACAACCATGTTTATTAGAGATAAGCGTGTTTGTTAGACATAAGCACGTGTTTGTTAGAGATAATCATGTTTCTTAGAGATACGCATGTTTTTAGAGATAAGCGTGTTTGTTAGAGATAAGCATGTTTCTTAGAGATAAACATGTTTGTTAGAGATAAGTCTGTTTGTTAGAGATAAGCTTGTTTCTTAGAGATAAGCGTGTTTGTTAGACATAAGCAAGTTTGTTAGAGTTATCATGTTTGTTAGAGATAAGCATGTTTGTTAGACACAAGGGTGTTTTTAGAGATAATCATGCTTCTTAGAGATAAGCGTGTTTGTTAGAGATAAACGTGTTTGTTAGAGATAAACATGATTGTTAGAGATAAGCGTGTTTGTTAGAGATAATCATGTTTCTTAGAGATAAGCATGTTTGTTAGAGATACGCGTGTTTGTTAGAGATAAACGTGTTTGTTAGAGATAAGCGTGTTTGTTAGAGATAAGCGTGTTTGTTAGAGATAAGCGTGTTTGTTAGAGATAAGCGTGTTTGTTAGAGATAAGCCTGTTTGGTAGAGATAAGCAAGTTTGTTAGAGTTATCATGTTTGACAGAGATAAGCGTGTTTGTTAGACATAAGCGAGTTTGTTAGAGTTATCATATTTGTTAGAGATAAGCGTGTTTGTTAGACATAAGCCCGTGTTTGTTAGAGATAAGCATGTTTGTTAGATATAAGCATGATTGTTAGAGCTTAGTGTGGTTGTTAGACATAAGCAAGTTTGTTAGAGTTATCATGTTTGTTACAGATAAGCATGTTTGTTAGACATAAGCGTGTTTTTTAGAGATAATCATGCTTCTTAGAGATAAGCATGTTTGTTAAAGATAAGTGTGTTTCTTAGAGATAAACGTGTTTGTTAGAGATAAACATGATTGTTAGAGATAAGTGTGTTTGTTAGAGATAATCATGTTTCTTAGAGACAAGCATGTTTGTTAGAGACACGCGTGTTTGTTAGAGATAAACGTGTTTGTTAGAGATAAACGTGTTTGTTAGAGATAAGCGTGTTTGTTAGAGATAAGCGTGTTTGTTAGAGATAAGCGTGTTTGTTAGAGATAATTCTGTTTGTTAGAGATAAGCAAGTTTGTTAGAGTTATCATGTTTGATAGAGATAAGCGTGTTTGTTAGACATAAGCAAGTTTGTTAGAGCTATCATGTTTTTTTAGAGACAAGCGTGTTTGTTAGACATAAGCCCGTGTTTTTTAGAGATAAGCATGTTTGTTAGATATAAGCATGATTGTTAGAGATAAGCGTGGTTGTTAGACATAAGCAAGTTTGTTAGAGTTATCATGTTTATTACAGATAAGCGTGTTTGTTAGAGATAAGCGTATTTGTTAGAGATAATAATGTTTCTTAGAGATAAGCATGTTTGTTAGAGATAATCATGTTTCTTAGATATAAGCATGTTTGTTAGAGATAATCATGTTTCTTAGAGATAAGCATGTTTCTTAGAGATTAGCATATTTTTTAGAGATAAGCATGTTTCTTAGAGATAAGCATGTTTGTTAGAGATAATCCTGTTTGGCTTTTTTTAAATATGTTCAATCCTTGTTGGTTAATAACCCATTTTGTTAAATTTTTTATTCGTTCATTAAAAATTTGAAATTGTTCGTTCAACAGCATCATTCGTTCAGTAAAATTGTTTGTTTAGCAAAATTGTTCGTCCAACAACATCATTCGTTCAGTAAAATTGTTTGTTTAGCAAAATCATTCGCTCAGTAAAATGTTAGGTTTGGTCGGGTCGGGCTGGATTAGGTTGGGTTCCCTCAAAATGTCACAAACAATTTTTAACTTGTTCGTGAATGGTAAAGTTCGTGAATGATAAAGTTCGTGAATGATATAATAATTAAGACATAGTTACTCCTACAAAAACTCCTATTCTCTTTGTTAAAGCAATATCTGGGACCTGGAGAACAGGAGCCTAGTACGCTCCAGGATCTAATACAGGATAGACGTTAGAGCTTAGCTTCGTTTATCCCAGTAAGGCCTGGGGACTTGTACTTCATTGACAGCTCTTAGGATGATGTATCTTACCAGAGGACGAAGGACGCCAGCCTCCTTCCCATCCTTCAACATGAATGTACATCCTCGGAATCCTCAGCATCATTAAGGATATCAGAGGATGCTCTTTATTCTCCAGCTGGATCTATAAACAGTGTTACTGGGGCCTTGGAGCAGCTAAGGTGTTTATAAGCAGAACCTTTATGACCTCCAGTTGGTTCTGTTGACAAGGAAAGCCAAGATACAGAGCAACCAGGACTTTCAGGATATCCAGGACACATAGCGGAAATAGGATATCCAGGATCACGAGAACGGAGACGCGGCTCATTGTGGAACAGCTCTTCACACACCTGTTGAAGAACCGCTAGCGGAACCAGATGATCCTGCGTACAGAGATGCCGTTTATTGCAGAGCAGCTCTGTACATATCTCTGGTAACAATAGCTACAGGATACATAGGATTACTAAGACTTCAAAGACACAGCAAAGACTCTAGGGATAACTCTGGCAGCAGCTCCAGTAGTAGAGAAGCAGCTGAAGACACAATAAGAACATCCCAGATTGTAGGAACAGCCAGGATAATAGAGACTCTGAGAGCAGCTGAACGAGATAGAGTAATGGAGGAAGCTACTCAGACAGATCCTGAACTGTACCGGCTAGCTGAATATCTAAAGGAATTTATGAATGAATGAATAAACGTTATTCAATAAACTATGAAACTGATCAATCCAAATTCATTTATACTCTGATAGAATATGCATAAAGAGGTTATTACAGGGATTGATACTAAAACGAGAGTACAGGGATCTAGAGTGAAATATTTTCATAAACCCTAAACCTAAACCTAATTGATCTTGAAACTCCCTTGGATTTACATCTGGCTTGTATTTGATAGAACTCAATAATCATTAAAATGATTTTTAAATCAACTTTAAAAATCGTTCCTTCGTTTACCTCTGACTAAAATAAAATGTAAACGATTTTAAACAATTTTTTTTTGAAAGAAATTTTTTTTTTTCTTGCTGAACAATCCAATTAGTTAGTCCATCGTTAGTTTTTCTTAACATCACCATCGTTCACAAAAAATTTTTTGTTTATATTGAAGTTTATCGTTAGTTAACGAAAACAATGCCCGTCTAAGAGACAGATCTAGTTTTTTTATAAAGAATGGATAAAACCAGATAGGGTTTCCAGTCTTGCACTGCGCATTTCTTGCTCGAAGGGTTTTATAAGGGTTCATAAAACTTGTTTATCATGTTTGAAATCATATTTATTATAATATTAATAGATACCTTATTACGTTACAAAGGATTAAGGCATTGATGATCACTGCAACTGCAACTGGAACACCTGTATAAAAAAATTTAAGTATGTCATCGTGTGATAAAATTTTTTTTTTTATTAAACACTCAAACATCAAACTCTAATGTTCTCATCCATATATCTTTGCAACTTTATGTCGTAGAATATTGAAATTATTAACTTTGTTGTAGATAATAGTTCAAAATTTGCTATATTCAAGAATAATACCATCAGTTCATCAAGTTTGAACTTGAAGCTAAGAAATAGAAAATAGAAAATTGGAGTTTGTTGCAAGAACACAGTTCCTTTTATAAACTTGATATTAAGAATAAATTGTAAGTGTTTCCTCTACTGCAGTGTACCTAAATCATAACTGTTGACCATAAATACAACTTCTAACCCCCACCCCCCCCCTGCAGCAAGTCTCAGTAGAAGTTTATCTATACTCTCTGTGAAAGAAACAACAAACAGTGAAACGTTTTGATAAGTGAAAGTTTAAATCCATAAATAACTTTGCAATTAATAGTTAATTCCACTTAAAAATCCAGGTTTATTTTTCAAAAGTATTTACAAATTGTTTTAAACTATTCCATCAAACCCTAAGCACTCCTTTCACAGTTCACTCCGTAACGAAAAACTAGTAAGATATATTTTAAATATTCAACTAAATTAATAAATTGTCATTTTTATTTTTTACTGTGCCTGTATTTTATTACAGGTTTGAAATATATCTATTTCTGATTATTGGAGACTGCGGTGTCCAACCAACCAACCAACCATGTGGCATGTACGACTCACAACTATACTATTATGCTTTGTTTTTGGTGTACCATTGTGAATCTGACATGTCCCTATTTTTTAATGAAGGGTCACTTAAAAATACACCGACGGCGACAGTCCCTTGAAAGAAGATCGGCATCTTGCGTTCACAAAACAATAAAATATAATTTTAAAAATAATATTTCATTTTTCGTATTTGGTCTTTCTCTGCAAGATCAATAAAGTTTAAAAGGGGGAGGGGGGAGGGAATAATAACGATAATGTGACATGAAACCTGAAAATGTTATTCCGCTTACTCACGTATTTTTTTTATCTTACAGAGCCAAAAATTAAAAAGGCATTCTTCAGTTGAATGGCAGGTAGGAGGGTTTTTTTAAAAACTGTAAACGTTACTTCAATTGACTATCCATGTAAAGATGCCGATGCCCGATTAACAACGATAACCTTGCAAGAAAACAACATTGTTGAAACCTTAATCTGATCAAAATGTTGAATATAACGAAGTTTTTTCCTGACTAGAAAAGCGTTTAATATGGCAATACCCGTTTTGTATCGGGTATTGCCATATTTGCACGGAGGGTCACTTGAAATTACGCTTACAGTCTCTTTAATCAACTGAACCTTTTAGTAATTAATGGGAAATTTTATTAACGACTGGATTGAAAAAATTGGAAAATTATCACATGTAATTCTTAATTTTAATTCTGATAACAATTGAATTGCGAAAATTTTTTAAAAAATTTAAATCTTTGATGAAAACGTAAAAAGTTTAGCTTACAGTTGATGTAATAGCTATACCCTTAAATATTATAAAATGAATTTTTAAAATAAGTTAAGACTTGGATATTGAAAGTTAAGAGAACGACTTTTTCAATTCAAAATATTTAAAATGTGATCTTCCACAATATAAACCTATACCCTGGGTTCATGTGTGTTGACACAACAAACTTTGGCCCGATCGGTCCAGCCGTGTTTAAGGTACAAACAGACATATAAACAGACAAAAACACAGACAGACAAGCAAAGTAAATGATGTTTCGTATACCTAGAAACCATCTGCTCACTCCGTAATCCATCCAGCAGTTCTCATTCTCAAAAGTCTTAAAAAGAAAAATGATTTTTAAAAAAGTTTTTAGACTGAAATCACCAAAAAATAAAATTTTTCAAGTTTTTTGCTTTATACATTTTAAAATATTATTTTGTTTGTAATACAAGTATGAAAAGGGACAGACCGGCTATGTAAAATAGTTATTTTGAGTATGCAGTGTTGTGGACAAATTCTTTAAGATTCATTTGAGACATATAAAACGTTTTCACGCTGTATAATTGCTGAGTTTGAGCGCAAAGTCGACGTTTAAACTCATGAATTTGAGTGGGTACTTTTCAGAATTGTTTTTTTTAAATAATTAAATAACGACGACGAAAAATATAGTAAACTAATTTGATGTTTAGGAACATATCTCTCAATAAATCGAAGTCGGAATTAATTATTTCGTTTTCATTATTTTATTGAATTTCTTATTTTTTATGAATTTGTTCGCAGATTTCTTCAAATGATGTAAATGTCGTCTTTTTAATAAAAATTCCAGAAAATCTGCAGACAATCTTTGTGATTAAAGAGAGATTATAGAAACTAATAATTGAATAAGATTACTTATTTTCGATGATATAAGAGTTGATTTTTATTTTCTCAACCTGTTCCTAAAATAATTAGTTAACTGTAGAATTTGTTTCCATTTTTTGTCTTAAAACGTATCCACCCAAAAGTACTATTTTGAACGTCGACTTTGCGCTCAAACTCAGGATTTACAGATCTTTAAAAAATTTGATATGTCTCAAATGAATCCTGAAGAATTTGTCCAAATTATTGCATACTCAGTTTAACTACCTTTAAAAACATTTTATTCTACTGAATATTGTTAAAAATAAGGAACAAACAAAACAAAAAATTAAATTTTTATATTTTCTAAGAGTTTTGCAGTTCCAGGCTTTCTATTTAAATCAAAAATTATTTTTTTCTTTTAAAAAAGTTCTTCGAACTTCCTAACGTTTTTTGTTTCTCTCATTATTACGAAAAAATCTTTTTACAAAGATGTTTGATAACCAATATTACACACCACAATGATCGTTTGCTTCGTTTTTTCTTTTAATTAGAAACATCTATTGGGATTTTGTATTTGTAACATGATAACTGACAGAGAAATCATTCATTTTTTGATGGGTTTCTCTAAACGTTTTATTATCTTATTTTAAAACATTTGAAAGATGCACTGATTTCCTTTTTAATATCCTGCTTTTCTCTGTCAAATCCTCAATGTAAATCAATTTAAATAAGAAAAAACATGAATTGATAAATAAATTGGAATATTCGTTGATTTAAACAAGTTCTGAAAATAAGATGAATGATTATGTTTCACTTTATATAAAGAAAGAAATAAATTCTAAGATATTTTTCATTTCTCATAAAAACTGTCCAAAACTGAAAAAAAACAACTTATAATTAGATTTTCAACCTATAACTATGGCAGAAGTTGTTTATTTTTTTTTTAATAAATATTCAGAAAGAAAAATCATGAACATGTAATAAAACTTGAATTTTCTCTCCAGATTAATCACAAAAGTCGTTGTTTTAAACCACTGCCTTTAACCCTATCTCTGCTGGGGTACTTGAAAACCAGGATATGCTGGGGGGGGTCAATTTGACCCCCCCCCCTCTAAACCCCATGTTTGATGTCCAAATATGACAAATGATACATCATTGGAAAGCTCTTGTGCTCTACTCTTAGAATCTGCAAAAAAAATTTGCAAATTTGCAAGAATTGAATTTTTTATCGCCAAATCCAGTTATAAAGTAAAAATGTTTGCAAAAAAAAATTTGTCCAAAAATGAAAAATCATACATTTTAGAAAAGCCCTTGACCATGCCATTTTAAATATGCAAAAAATTTTGCAAAATTTTAAATAACCTAATTTTTAATCAAGAAAAACTAAAAATGTGCAAATTTCCTTTGACAGGTTGTTTGCAAAAAATTTGCAATTTTTTTTCGCAAAACTAGTGCAATTCGTTTCCTTATGTCAAAGGCTTTCCAAAAAGCTAAATTTTATCAAAATCTGTCAAGTGGAAGTGGGTCAAAACAAAGATTTAGTTTGTTACAGGAAAAAGCAGTCATTCAGGCAGTGTGCCTGAGGACTCAGGCAGTTAGTATTTAAGCCCGGTTTTAGGCCTAAAGGGAGGCTTTGAGTATATAGGAAAAGTCAGAAAATTTCAACAGCCTCAGACCAATACTTTTTGAGTTATGTAAAAAAAAACTACAGGGGGGGGGCAAATTGACCCCCCCCTCCCAGCAGGAATAGGGTTAAAAACTTCCTTAAATTATAATTTTCAAATCCTTACATCTTTGCAGCTTGATGTCGTAAACTATGAATTCTACTTGATGAAAAATTTTATATATAAGGATTTCGCCACCAAGTTGATAAGATATCGATTAGAAAATTAGAGTTTGCGGCTTATAATCAATTCCTTTGAATCCTCACTTGATAACACTCTCACCAATCAGCATATTTCCAATTACTACTTTTAACCTGCACTAAAATGAACATGGCTAGGGCTACAAAAAGAAAATTGATTTAGTTAGGTGAAACCAAAGTCCAAGGCGTTGCGACACTTTAAAGTCTTGTAGATATTTACAACATTATAAAGCTGTCTTGATCTCTACAGGGTTAACCACATTGGATTAGACTGCAAAGACGACCGGAAACTTTGAAAACTTGACAAAGTTTAAATTAAGTTTTCTGTCTCAAATATATTGTATTGTTTTTTTGGGGGGCTTATTCAATGATTCGGCAAAGAAAGAAACAAGTTTATAGCTCAGGAAGTCATGAATATAAAGGTACAGATATTATAAAGTCACTTAAGTCTCATCTCTTGTGGGTCCCCCTGTATGTGTCCTATAAACCTGTTTATAGTTGGCGTAGGGTATGATGAAGATAGAAGGTAAAACCCAACCAAGGAAAATCAAACTCCGAACCGTATTCTTTCCAACCTATCCACAAAAGGAATTGAGTCTTTGTCATAAACTCTAACTTTCATAATCCCTATTTCTTTGGAGTCCAATGTTATGTTGCAGACCTTTGACATTTCAAACTATGACTTCTGTTAGATCAAATAATATAATTTTGAAATATCAAAGGCTTATGACACTGGGTTTCAAAGATATGGAGATTAGAAAATCAGAAATTGTGACAAGGACTCAATTCCTTTATTAAATTAATAGATAAATAGATAGATAGGTTTTAGACAGATACATTTTGATTAATGATATTTTGGTTGCCTAATGCTTACATGCTTAATGCTCATAAACATGACCTGGAATGTGTTCATGAATAAGATCTGGAATATGTTCATGAATATGACCTGGAATGTGTTCATGAGTAGAAGCTGAAGATATGTTCCTTCGCAAAGCATCCAGAAGTATGTTGTCATTGTAAAGTATGTAACGAGGAGATGTAACCCTCTGCACCAGACTAGATTCTCAGACCAAACACTGCAATTTTACTTTTTAGTCGTTGTCGTATATATATTAATACAGTGTAGGCAACTTTTTTTAGATTAATTTTGATTTCTATCAAGCTTTCAAACAGTTTTAACACACAAATCCTGGCAACAAAGAGAAGCTTCAGCTTCTTTGTTATTGCAAAAATATACAGTGGCCGTAACAGTTGACTCCATATTTTTGCAACAGCTTAGAAGCGGATGTTCAAATGCAAAATATCAATATTGCAAGCGGGTGCGTAGTCATTAGCATTATAGTCTGTTGTCATAGATGTTCATATATCCAATGCATGCAAAGGTCAATGACAATACTTTACAGAAAGATAAGAAATTGAACCAATTCAAATATCCCTACTTTCATAAAAACGTTTTTTCTTGTAGATTATATACAAAGAGACTAGAATATATATTAGAGTGGAATTTAGAAAATCCCTCGGTTATATGCAGCTGAGTACAATAACACAGTATGTTCCATAGGCTATCCATTTCAATCTCAAATTTTTTAAACTGTTAAATAAACTTTATAAAATGAATCATCGTTTGTAAAGTGAAAGGCATAGAGTCTATGTGAAATAATCATTGAAAAATTATGAAACCAGCCTATTTCATAATTTGCTTTTCTATTAATATTAATTTTAGATTTTCTATAAAATGTTGTTCCAGGGCCCAAATATGTGAAGTACACCTGCAGTATGAAAACAGTACAACAAAATGGCCGTTTTACACTTTTTTCTAGTAAATTCCCCTCTAATATATATTCTATTCTCTTTGATTATATACCTGATATGGAATATGATGGTGTAGTACCAGATTATATACCTGATCTCGAATATGATGGTGTATTCCTTAAAGTACTGCAGATTATATACCTGATCTCGAATATGACGGTGTAGTACCAGATTATATACCTGATCTCGAATATGACGGTGTAGTACCAGATCAACCAGAATATGTTGCTGAGGGCAAGAGAGAGGAGGAGGTTGATGTGCATCGTCACTCGTCCACAGTGCAAGGATCGACAGGTCGTGAACACTATTAAAGGAATTGTCACTTTTCAGCAACTAAATGATTAAATGGGCCTCTAATGATTAAATGTACCTCTAATTATTAAATGGGTATCTAATGATTAAATGGACCTCTATTATCTAAATGGGTCTCTAATGATTAAATGGGCCTTTAATGATTAAATGGGCCTTTAATAATTAAATGAACCTTTAATGATTAAATGGACCTTTAATGATTAAATGGACCTTTAATAATTAAAAGAGCCTCTAATGATTAAATGGGCCTGTAATGACTAAATGGGCATTTAATTATTAAATGGACCTTTAATGATTAAATTGACCTTTAATGATTAAATGGACCTTTAATAATTAAAAGAGCCTCTAATGATTAAATGGGCCTATAATGACTAAATGTGCATTTAATGACTATAAATGGGCCTCTTTATAAATTTTCAGTTTTATAATTCAGTTTAGAAGACCGATATTAAACTAAAGTTACTTTTTAGAGACGCAATTTGTTCCGTTTTGGTTTTATGCTATTTTTTCATCTAACAAGTTATTTTTCACAATTGAACTGAAAATACATATTAAATGATTTAAGATGTCGCAAAGTTGTATTGATAACTCCGCATTAAATAAACGACATTTTCCTTGTGTTGAAGTTGGGGCGGAATATATTCAAAATTTCTTTTATGATAATAAATGATTTAGAACATGTTTTATTTTTCCCCATGAATTATGTCTCATATTTTTGAAAAAAACTCATTTTTTTCAAATTTTCCTCGTTACACAAAGAAATGTTAAAATTACAATGCATTGACCATTTTATAATTCATTATACCTGTCAAAGCAATTAGAAGGAACATGAGAGAAATCCATAAACCTACAATTATTCTTATTTTTCATTAAAAAAGAAAAAGTTAAAAAACGATATATTTTGAAAATTGCAGATACAAGCCATACAGATATGATCATGAATGAATAAGAATGAATGATATATCAATCATCTTCTCGTTGAAAATCGATTTTTTATTAAAACTACTTTATCTTCCAGCTTGTTTATCACTTAAATTTTTGAAGGTTATCCACCTCAGTCTATTAAATGCATGATCCGTGCCAGTACCGTACTACACTACATGTAAGTACTGTATATGCATTCAGTCGTACTGTTCAGTCAAACTACCCACTGTAGAATCGACCCAGCACGTTTTATGCAAAAGTGTAGCCTAACAATATCACAGTAGGGTTTCCAGCGAAAGAAACGTTTCGCGAAAAAATGCAAAAAATTTCGTTCGCATTTCACAAAAATGAATGCAGCGAAAAAATGCGAAAACGATACGAAATTTTTTTTCGTATGCGAAGATTTCGTGAAAATATTTTCGGGGAAAAAAATCCCGCGAAAACCATAAGCTGCAACATTAATTGCACAAAAAAACTTGTGCAATTCTTTACTCTGATGTCCCTCTGATAGCTCAATATTTGAAGTTTTATTATTACCAATGACTATATGAGCCAATCAACAAAAAATTCCGTTTTTTCCGCGAAATTTTCACTTTACTTTTTCACGGAATTTTCACATTATTTTTTTCGCGAAATCTTCGCATTTTCTATTTTCGCGAAACAGATTGAAGCGAAATTTCGCGATAAAAGCGAGAAAAAAATTTCGGGAAAAATATCGCCAAACGATTTTTCTTTTTCGCTGCACATCCTATTTGTCCCTCTGTAAACGAAAAGTCACTTTAAATTATATACATCAAAATATACTGTGAAATTACATTTAAACTATTGATTTTATTTTTTTGAGACTTTTCTGCATCTATTTTAGCAATTTTTGTTTTATTTTAAACAGATTTTGATTTATTTGATTATTTTAGAGGTATGATTTTAACAATGCAATGTACTCAATGTTTCCTTCAATTTAGATCAAGTAAAAAATTTGAACAAAGCAATAAGCTCTCACTATAATATATTCTTTTCTTAACTAAACTTAATATCATATATAAATGTAAAAATATATAAACTTTATTGTTAGAAAAGTAATAAAGAAACAAAAATAGTATTGATTCTTAAAAGCTATTACCTATTAATTTTAGAGAGAAGGTTTATTTTCATGCTTTATATTTGTTATTTCTTTTTTTCCTACCTGTCAAACTTATTGAAGTCATAATTGTTCTGAACCTGATAATAAAATATAGTTTCAAAAATCTGTTTTCATTATATTAGGATATATCTAATGAAAAGCATGAATTCTATAACAAATTATTTTGCTGCATGGTATAGGAACAGATTTCTTAAATGGTTCAGGGTTACCTACAAAAGGATGATGTTGTAAAGACAACCTGAAACTCTTTAACCCTATCATGGTTGGGGGGGGGGGTGTTTCCCCCCCTGTGGTTTATTCTAAATAACTTAAAAATGGCTTACATTAGAACGCTAAAACTTCATCATAGTTGTTTACAAATTTTGCAATAAAATATTATTTTTTGTGCATAGGGTAGGGTGGAGAATGGTCAAACTGCGGGTTAGTATTTAAAAAAATCATAAATGGTTAATAACTTTTTCATTAATTAAGCTACAGGGCTTATATTATATTTGAAAAGGCCTTTAAAATGGATATTATAACATGTGTCATATGTTAATATTCGTTAAAAGTAAAAATATTAATTTTTGAACATTTTTTCGACATCTATATTAGACAAAATTAGCTCAATCGGGATAGGGTTAACATATAATTTTGAAGGAAAGCATGCTTATTTGTTATAGTTAAAATATTTTTTTTTGGTATTTTTAAATTTGTATTTTGATGTTATATTTGTTGATGGTTTTGTTATTGGATATTTTTTTCATAAAATTACTAAATTAATTTAATTAAAGTTATCTATTTTTTAAAACTTTGTGCCCAAAAAAAAGAAACCATCATTGTTTTTAAATCTATATAAACCATAATTTAACTTTGGTACTTCAAACCCTGAATTCTGTTATGGGTCTGCACATTATTCACGAAGTCAAAGTTTGAAATTTCAAAGGTTTACACCATCAGGTTACAAATTCAAAGGGATTAGAAAATATGAGTTTGGTGAGAGAATAGTTTGTTTCTTTGAATTTGAACCTTTAAACAAATAAGAAGTTTATTTTTTCCAAAAGTTAACAAAGAAAATCTATTTGCGTTTTTTAAAAGATAAATACATTTGTGGTCGAGAGGGGTTTTCTAATTATGCTTGAAGGTACCGGAGTGAGGGGGTGGATGTTTAAGAATATGAAAGCGCTAACCTATAATCTGCTTGGTCTACACACCCTGTATAGTTACTCCAGGTTCTATTAGATACAGGGTGAATCCACCAGGTTCCTAAATAGGGACTAGAATTTAGTATTTCAAGTTTTTCAAAGTCTTAGAAATATGGACTAGAATTGGGTTTCCAAGTTTTTCTAAGTCTTAAAAAATGGACTAAAATTTGTTTTTCTCATTTAACCAGGTCTCTAAATGTGGCATTCAACCCTTCAAGTTTTTCCCGGTCATTAAATATGGACTAGAATTAGTCCTTCAAATTTAACCAGGATTCCATAGAGACTGACATTAGTTTTAAAAATTCAACCACGGTACCAATAAAACTAATCTTTCAATTTAATCCAGGTCCTACAGTATGGACTATTTTTTTTTCTCTCAGAGAATTTCCAAGAAAATGATGTATACAGTGTAACATAAAGTATTTTGAATTTTTTATTTATGGGGCCAATGTAGTGATTTCTCCGACATGTTATTGTCAGATTGGAACCGTACGGACCATTTTAAATTTTTTACACATTAATGCACAGGTGAGCGGTTGGCTGAGATCCAATATTAATGATGCCCAATGTACAAGTTACAGCGTAACAAAAATACCTAATGTACAAGTTAAAGCGTAATAACAAATGCCTAATTTATACAAGTTACAGCGTAACAAATGCGATGCCTAATGTAGAAGTTACAACAAAACAAAATTGAGCGAAGGAGAAGCTGTCTTTCTGCGACAATATTATACCAACTTTCTGCGACAATATTATACCAACTTTCTGCGACAATATTATACCAACTTTCTGCGACAATATTATACCAACTTTGTGAGACAATATTATACCAACTTTGTGAGACAATATTATACCAACTTTGTGAGACAATATTATACCAACTTTGTGAGACAAAAGTATGCTTTCAGCAAATGTATCCGGTTATAGATTAGAAATTTATATTGCACTGTCATTGGTGGAAATTCTTGCTAATGATACAGACGTAACAATTATATTGTCAATTATATCTATGACACATGAATCAGTATTATATTTAAATAAAAATAGGAGTAGGAGCGTACCTACACTTTTTAGGCACCCCTGGGTTATCCAAATTTTCAGGTCTGTTCCGTATTTGCTGAATATGATCTGTTTAAAACTTTTTGTATAACTTTCACCCAATTTTATCAATTTCCCGCGACGGGGACATCAGATAGAACTAATCTTTGTCGCGATCAACTCCTAAAATATTTAGGCTTCAGCCCATTAACTTTTGCATTTTATCTTAACAGTCCCTTTAATCTTCGAAATTCTTAACTTTTTAAGAAGAAGAAAAAGACGATATATTACACAATATTATTTTTGAGCCGGGTCAACCTTTCCGGTCCCAGTTTGTACAGTACCTAGCTCTATGGACTGAACTAACCGATGCAACAAGGTTGACGCGGTCCGGCTTTATGCTTCATATAGGTTGAATTTACTTTTACTAAAGGGGCAGAGGGGCGTGATATAAAGGTTTAAAAGGTACTTTTGTGAATCAGACACGTCCCTTTTTAATCAAAGGTTTACTTTAAATTACAAAGGCGGTCCCTTTATTTGACGATTTTTTTACATTTGGCTTTCTTAAAATTCTTTTGCAATAAAGATAAAACCTAAATTAATTAAAATTGAAATAAAAAATTAAGTATTTAAAAGAGTATTCTGTGCAAGATATAAGTGTGTCCCAATATACATGAAGGATATTTTTAATGTCATGTTCATGTGACATAAGTCAGGTGATATTAAGGAGATATTGCTATGAATAAAATACATTTTAGCGAATCGATTTAAATTTATGTAAACTTAATTTTTTTAATAATAGCTAACCCTTTGTTTTTCTATGGTATTGTGAAGAGTTGATTTTCTTTAAAAAAAAGATTAAAATAACAGATTAAACCTTTACTTGGGAACTTTTGTAGAAACTCATAATTCCGATCACTTGATATCGATATCCGTTGTGGTCACTTTTATTTTGAAGATCAATGTTTAATCTCTAATTCCTCCCATGATCGATCAAGCTCCCTTCAACCCTTTACTGGATATCAATTTGCAGATTAACCACATCGAAACCAAGCACTGATCTCGATATCCACAATACAAGAGTTCCAACCAAAGATCTACTTTTGATAAGATAAAGAAAAAAATCAAGTTGAGGACACCATTAACAAAGAAAAGAAAATCACTAAAGAATAAAAAATAAATATATATATAATATATATATAATATATATATATAATATATATATCCTCGTTAAAAAATTTAATCTTAAAACTTTTTTTATTCCTTTAACATTACTTTACACTTTACAATGCTGCAGTTGTCATCTTTCCATTAAAATATTTAATACTAATATTTTGGTTTTTAGTTTCTTTTTCTTTTCTACATTTAATATTTACTCACCTAAAATTTGAACTTAACATCCCATGTTATAAAATGACCAAGAAAACAACTTTTCTTATATAAACAAAAAAATTCTGGTTTCTTTCTCCCTTCCCCCTCCCCCCTCCCTTCTTTAAATACGGTGTTGTGTAACTTACCATTACTTGTACAAAACTTCTCAGCTAAGTTTTCCTCCCTACAGTATGGAAAATATCCTCATATTAACATGTCTAACATAAGAGGTATGTCCAATTCACAACAGTAACCTTTAAATCGTATATGATCAAGGATGACTGAAATGTCTAACATATCGCTAATAATTTGCTCCGAAAAATGTATACGAGTATACACTAGATATTGTATCGTCACTTCTTCCAGCTTTCCATTCTTTTCACGGATTTAATTAAGCTTTTTTGCCCTTTTTTGCCCTTTTTTGCCCTTTTTTGCCCTTTTTTCCAGCTTTCCATCCTTTTTACGGATTTAATTAAGCTTTTTCAAGCTTTTTTGCCCTTTTTTGCCCTTTTTTGCCCTTTTTTTGCCCTTTTTTTGCATCCTCTTTGCGCTCACAGAAGAAAAATCGATGATCAGACAAATTTGTTCAGGGTACCTTTGGAAAGAGGACATGCCATGTATTCCTAATTCCGTAAACTGTCACTTTAAATTTAATAAAAAAATAATGCTAACATAGATAATAAAATGTTTTGTACAAAATATACTTCTACAATTTAAATTTTTTCACACTTTTCCTATAATTCAGCTGATATATCTGGGGACATGACGAGTACTGAACTGTATTTTGGGGAGTTGCTCTGAAACAGGACCTAAAAACAGACATCGAACTTTCTTTTCAAACCTTTTAGAGATTTTGATTCTATGAAACATTTCCATTGAATACAGGAGGGTGTCCAATAAACATGGGAATTCAGTGTCGAATTCGATATCGTCTTTGTTATGAATTAGCATTGTAATACCTAATTTCAAAAGCCATAATACTATTATGTCTACTAGTGTTTATTTCATGAAAACGGTTATGGCTGTAAAGATGTGTCTATAATGTCTCCGCAAGATGAACAGTGAAGACGGGCAAGTTTACTCTGTAATTTTTTTGACTGCATACACCCTTATGCAGTCAAAACATAAAGAAACAAATTGTAACATTGACGGAATGAGTCAATTTTTACCATGAAATCTGCCAATTAAACCGGTTTTTGAACTCAGCTCTGTGGAAAATAAGACCGAGCCGTATTTTCCCAAGTTTTTTTTTAAATCGCGGGCTCTGATTATAGTCAGCACGTAGTTTATTTTTGTAACTGAGATATCTCTGACAATATATATTTCGTCCTCTTTTAATTATAAACGTAATTTGCATCTGAACTATTTCTTAAAAGAGCCAGCTGGACATTTAAAGCAATGTGCAAGCGACAAAAGAAAGAAAACAAACATTCACTCAAAACATTGGTTTTAAATACAATAAACGCGTCTAATCAAAAAAGATCAAGAAGACGACATTTTCAACACTTTACATGTCTCTGACGGTAAAATACAAAACTCACCATGAATCAAAAACCAATGGGCAAACTCCAGGCGGCTCAGGCTGAAATAAAAGCAAATAAAAAGCGTGTCTCAAAAAAGACGACAAATTCGTAGGTCGTCTTCTTCAATTCTATTTAAATTCTAACTACAAAGTAAATAGCTTCGTGACGTACTGACATGTTTGCATCATCATAAAAGGCTAACATATGTTTATAAACAAATCTAAACATTTTTACATCGTACATTTTGAGGTTTTGCAAAACCATATTGTTTTATCAAAATGTGTTGACTAATAATTCAAAATATACCTCTAGAGAAAATAGCTTAGCGCACTCCAGAAGCCTACGAAATAGTATGTATACATTACAGGGTTACCATTAAAGTATGAGATCTTAATGACGATCGGATACTTTTGAAAAATTCGACGCTTCGAGGAGTTCTGCAATTCTTTTAGACGACCTTTACATCACTTTTTACATTTACGCCTCTGGGTCGGGATATATATCATAGAATGATTGCAATACTGAAATTAATTTTCGTTAGAGCCGATTTCTGGTAGTTGCAGTTCTGTCGCATGCAAGGTAAGGCTTAATTAGAACTTCGAGCCATAATAACAGAATTTTATTGGTGTGCTAAATATTTTTTAAGAAACCTACAAGGTCAAGTAAAGCTATAGGGAACCATCAATGTTAGAAACAAGGCTGAATAAAGTCGTCTTCGAAGTCTGATCCAATGAAGGTAACCCTGTATTAAACATTACTTTCTATATTCAGATTGTACATTAAAACAAATCATAAGTTTTACTAAACACGAGAATAAAATATAAATGTATTATAAATTCATTTTTTTGGTAGGAAAAGCCATTTATATCCTTAATAGGATATCGATATCTTAAAGTGTGAGAGAGCATGGAAGGTCTGGGAGCATAATATTCAATTAAATATATTTCTAACAATTTGATCATTTGAAACTGTTAAATCTTTGGAATTCACATAGATTCAGTCTGCTTATATCAATTTTTAAGACAGGGTCGACTTTGAAGTGTTGCAACGCCTTGGGCCTTTAATTTACCACTCCAACTCACTTATGCTTTTCTGAAGCCTTTACATGTACATTTTAGCACTATAAAGCAGGAAATATGTCCCAAAGGAGTCAAGCACATGCTCTCTCTCCCTGTCTTGTAATTTAACGCGGCATGCGCGTAACTCCTTTGGGCTTCTGCTTGAGGATTATTGTGAACGAAAAATCCCAAAATCTTGAAAATACGAAATCTAGTGTTCTATCTGTATTCTTATCAATCTTTGCAATGTGTATTATCATTTCCACCTGTTCATAATGTATTTATTAGGTATGAAGTATGTAGAATCAGGATTAAGAACAAGACGAAATATCTTCTGAAGTTCTTTCATACTCTCACTAGGCAATACAAATCCATTTAAATCCATTCAAATCAATCCAAATCCATGCAAATCCATTCAAATCCATTTAAATCAGATTTGATGAAGAAACCTAGTTGAACTGCGTAGACGTAGTTAAACCACGTCTCTTTAGTTTGAACCGGCGCACTGGAGAAGTGGTTGAACGGCGTCTGCATAGTTCAATATTTGTTCATAGGGTGTAGAGGGTTGAAAACTAGAGTTTGAGGAAAGTATTCAGTTACCTTTAGTTCAATTCAGTGCCCTTTATGACATTTAAGGGTTAGAAACTTAGGAGGATAATAAAATAGGGGTGAATTTTGGGGGAAAAACATATTTGTTAGTCAACATATTAACTCATTTTAAGCGATAGAGTATAAGTTTAGAAAAAATGATTTAGAATGTTTTAAGAATGGTTCCTGACAGTTTCCGATGATATTTGGTAATCAGGAGCATTCAAATTTGCACGAATTATCATTCGACCCATCTTAGATTTTCTGAAATCAAAATAATTACACGGAGATATTTTTATAGGGTGTTTTTTATGTCAATTTTTAATCGCTAATTTTTTATTTTGTTTTTTTAAAATAATTTTCGCTGGCGCTGGATTTTCGAACATTCCTGGAAAATATGAAAATGTCGTCTTCATTATCAAAAATCCTCGAAACAGGAATAAATGTTGTCAAAAGTAACTCTCAGATCATGAAAAATACAAAATATTATGAAATATCAGCTATTTACGAATGCGTCGAAGCATTTTTTTTATCTTTGATTTAACAATATTTTTTTTATTTTTTTTTTAACAATATTTGTAAGAGGATATACAAATATTAAATATTTGTTATTTAATTCAATTTTTTAATTTTTCCAGTGAATATAAACTGTGCAGTGTACACAGAGCCATTTCACTTTATAAGTTGATTTTATAAGCTGCTGATTATTCCACATTTGTATAGGCCCCACTGCACTGTAAGTAAATTTTTAAATATATATTTTTTTATAGAAAATGTTATGATTATTTTATTCCAGAAACAATAACATAACTATGTCTGACATTGCTTCTTCTCAAGAATACAAATATAATTAGTTATGAAATATTTTCATGATATAAGATTTTTGAAAAACTTTCTTGTACATATTTTATCGTAAATGACTATTTTAATTTTTTAAAGACTTACTTTGCGAATCAATAGACATTTTTTATCTTTTATTGCGTCGGCATGAGCTATAACATTTTTATCTTCCATGCCACATTAGCTTTTTTGTCTTCCGGCAACCAACCAATACAGAAAAGATAATATGTGGCTTGGAAGGAGAAAATGTTGTAGCTTATTGCCGCCTTCATCCCTCACTCTTTGCACAAGTATTGGGAAATAATCGATTTTTTAGCCTATGACAACCCCCGGCCACCCATGAGTATCTACAAAACATTTCAACCCAATCGGTTTGGCCGGCTGTACGCAACATATAGATTAATGTCTTGTTTTATGATAACATCTAATCAACTTAAGAACAAAGATTTCACCTATTTCAAAGCACTATAAATAATGCCCTAATCATATATATATTTTGCCTGTATGTTTGTCTGACTGTCTGTCTGTGTCAAATAAAAAAAATCCATTATTTTAAGGCAGCTCAGATGACCCCAGAGCTGGCGATTATAAAAATTCAAGAATATACGACTCAGGTCTAAGCTGTCGTTTGGCCTTAAGCTTTCAGATTCAAGCTGCATCTTTTTTTCCACAGAGCAAGGTTATAATGCAAGGAAAGTTTGTTGCAGTTGCGTATAAACTCTGCGTACATATTGAAACCAGTTATCTCTGGGAGGAATTTATAAACAAAATTAGATGCATCAGTTTTTGTTTAGTATCCGAGGAGGATAAAATCAATTAATTTTGATAATTTTGATAATTCTCATAATAGTTTCCTATGACCAGAATATTTCATTGATTTTTCAGTGAAAGATGGATCCCATGTCAGGCTTCAACATCTTTCTTGTGTTTATACATTACCGCACAGAGACACTGAAGTACAAAAGATGCGTACACCTCTGAAATAACTTTTCTTGCATTATAACCTTGGAGTTGAGTTTTAAAAAAACTGGTTTAATATTTTATTTGACGGATTTTCATGGTAGGAATTGACGGATTCCGGGTTTTTATGAAAACAATACTTTAGATCGTTTTTAAACAAATCCCAACCCTACTCTCTAGCACTAGAATTATATCATTTTCTTCTCAATATATTTCGCCAAAAACTTTGGCATCATCAAACAAGACTCAACATTGAGCCTTATTCTCCACTAAAACCAACCAATTGTTGGTTTTATTTTCATTGGGCCTAACTCATAAGTCGAGTCTAAGATCTCGCAACTGTCAATCACGTGACACAAGCTGTCGTCAGAGTTGGGTCTTAAAGTCTGGTTCAAGGAATTACGGCTCTAGTCAAAGTTTTTAAATCGAGGGCTCAGGGAAGGTAAATGAATTATCAAAATTGAAAAAAATTGGCCTTTTTAAAATTTAAACAGAAATAACACGGTACGAAAAATTGAATTTTACATATATGAAATAAGTCAGTCATAAAATCTAAGATTTTATGACTGAACATATAGAGGAATGAACAGAAAAAAAAGTTCTTATTTAATTGTAAACTGTAATTCAGCACTTAAAAAAACAAGTATTGTTTATTTCCAATTCTTTAAAAGGTTTTATTATCCCTCCTTAAACAAGCCGCCCCCCCCCCCGTTTACGTAAAAGTTCGTTAATTAGATCGACACCCACCCCCACAAATATAAACAGGATGTTTGTTTTTAATCCATGACAGAAACAATCTCAAGGAATAATAATTGTCCTAAAACATTCTTTAAAAAGTTAATATTTGCAAATGATCTTTTTTCCATCTCATGACCTGAGTTCGTTTCCCTTTTATCCATTTGATTTTTATTAAATAATCTTTTTTGATTGTTTATTTCTGTGTTTGCGGTTAACATTTTCGATTGTCGATTTGGTTGGTTATTTATCGTTAGAACTGACGAGGATCAATGTCAACCCATAGAGAAAGGAATTGAGTCTTTGCCACAAACTCAAATTTTCAAATCCCTATATATATGGAACCTGATGTTGTAGACTTTTGATATTTCAAACTAAGATAATTTGATGCAACAAAATTCATAGTTTGAAATATCTAAAGTCTACGACATTCGGTTGCAGAGATATAGGAATCTGAAAATCAGAGTTTGTGTCAATGACTCAACTCCTTTATTTCAATAAAGTGTTGAACTAACATCTACTCTATAGAGGTTTGGCCCATCACCATCACCGAATTTTAAAAAAAGAAATGGCCACTAAAAAGCAAGGATTTCAAAGCTAAATTTAAAAATAGAAAAGGGGACATGAAGTGCCCTAAAAGCCTAGTTATTTATATTTCTAATAACACAAAACCACTGCTCTAAAATGTTCCAAATTTACTTATTGATCTAAGAAAATGAACAAGAAGTATCGAAAAATCCGCAACATTTACTTGAAAAACCTGAGATGGAATTTAAAGAATTTAAGCCGCGGTTTAAATCCGCCAAAATCCGCCAAAACCCGGTTTAAATTTAGCGCCGGCTTAAATCTTGAAACATTTGATACAATTTTAAGTGGAACCAACCATATTTAAACCGCGGCTTAAATATAAACCGCCGCTCAAATTCTTTAAATTCGGCCACTGTTTTCTGAATTCATATTTTTGTTTTTGTTTTGAACGCTATGGCTAACAGGAACATCTTTGTGTGTTTTTAAAGACGAAAAATACCTTTAAGAGCTTCAAAAATAATTCAAATATGCTCAATAGTCATTACTTTGTCTAAACGATAAGTAAATTGAAAACAATAATCAACTAATCTTCAATTAAGATTAAATCGCGTATTTGTTTGTAATTTAAAACTATTAAACTTTTCAGGGTTGTCATTGAAACTTGAAACTCAATTATTGACAAAGATGAAGAGAGACATTTTGGCATTATTGATCAAATGTAATAAAAGTCACAGTAAAGTCCCTTCAGTAAAAAGAGTAAAAACACTAACAGATAACAATAACTGGAAGTGGCCTTTACAATAGTTAAAATGCTAAAATTGTAATTTTGTTCTATTTTTTTTCTTTTTTTTTTAAGTGTTGAGCAAAAAAAAAAGTTTATGTAAAGACTTGAGAAGGTCCATTCTATTGCGTTATTGCAATATTTTAATATTTTTATGTTTGAATTCTTGCACATCTTGCTCCACACTCCTAGAATACCATTCAGAAACTGGGATTTTCACCGAGATTTTTGGAGAGAGAGAGAACAAGAGAAAGAAAGAGAGAATCGAGAGAATAGGGTTGTGAGGATAATATAGAAGAGAATAGGGTTGGGAGGATAATATAGAAGAGAATAGGGTTGAGAGGATAATATAGGAGAGAATAGGGTTGGGAGGATAATATAGGAGAGAATAGGGTTGGGAGGATAATATAGGAGAGAATAGGGTTGGGAGGATAATATAGGAGAGAATAGGGTTGTGAGGATAATATAGGAGAGAATAGGGTTGGGAGGATAATATAGGAGAGAATAGGGTTGGGGGGATAATATAGGAGAGAATAGGGTTGGGAGGATTATATAGGAGAGAATAGGGTTGAGAGGATAATATAGGAGAGAATAGGGTTGGGAGGATAATATTGAAGAGAATAGGGTTGGGAGGATAATATAGGAGAGAATAGGGTTGAGAGGATAATATAGGAGAGAATAGTTTTGGGTGAGTTGGCTAGGATGGGAGAAGGTGTGGGATAGAATTGGGTTAGATGGGTTGGCTAGGATGAGAGAAGGTGTAGGATAGAATAGGGTTGGATGGGTTGGCTAGGATGGGAGAAGGTGTAGGATAGAATAGGGTTGGATGGGTTGGCTAGGATGGGAGAAGGTATAGGATAGAATAGGGTTGGTTGGGTGGGTTGGATAGAAAGGAATAGGATAAAATTGGGTTATTGGTTTGATAGCAAATGATTTATCGAATTGGTCGACTCGATATACCACGTATCCATGTTACTCTGCAGGGAGAACAATTTTTGTGTTACAACTCACAGTTAACACATTTTCTAACTCACACAACTAATGTCCATATTCAACATCTGTATACTTTACTTTACATATGGCAAGTTTAATATTACAAATGAGCAAATATGTTATTCTTAAATGATTAACTTTTAGTTTTACGTTCTGCATCCAAACAATCTTTTAATATGGTTTTCTAGTTAATAATTTATATTTTGCGATGAAATATGTATTTTTGTTGTTATTTTGAATAGATTAGAATTGGGAAAATACAAGAATACAAGTTTACTGAACAGCATCAGCAAATCCAACTCTAGAGTTTCCCATGTCAAACTCAGAATAAAATTTTCCTAAAAAAAGCAATAAATAAATGATATTAATCGAAAGAAGCTGAACACAATTGCCTAATCCCTGTATCTTTGCACCCTGCTGGTGTCAACTTTTGATCTGTCAAGCGTTAATAGTATGATTAATAAGAATTGAGGAGTCTACAGGTTGCAGTTTGTTGCAGTTTGGTGCAGTTTGTTGCAGTTTGTTGCAGTTTGTTGCAGTTTGTTGCAGTTTGTTGCAGTTTGTTGCAGTTTGAGGTTCCCCACTGCTTTGCAATTTGACATTTACAAATCTAACTTGAAATAAAAAAAAGATTGTGAATTTGTGGAGTGTAAAATATTTTTTTCAGTTTTCTGTAACACAAATAAATATTTTATATGGCAAATCAGAAAGTATTAAACTTGTTATTAAATATTTTAAGAATTCCAATGAATTTTCTATGAAATTTGTATTTAAAATATAATTCGAAAAATACTCACCCTTCCTTCACTAAAAATATAACTTACCAATAAAAACATCTCCAAGGATCCACCAAGGTCCCATGGGAACATCAAGACCCATAAATCCAGAAATACACTGAGTTTGTCCTTGCTGGGTTATCTAAACGACAAATCAAATAAAAAAGGGACTGTTGTCCTAATCAAAAATATCTCAACTTTTGTTTCTTGATTTAGAGTGTGAAAGGTCAGGACCATTAGGACAAGTTAAAGAGGGTTCAAAAATCATGAAGTGTTTGACCGTCTTACACCCTAATCAGCAGGCTTTTACGAAACATCCTTTAAATTACTTTTTTAAATAAGTCCGGATGTTATGAATGTGATATACCCCCCTCCCCCCCCCACATTTTGTGGTTAATCATAACTAACCTGAAGAACGTAGTCTTGGCCGGTAAGTGTAAAAGTTTTGCCAGCAATAACAAAATCAATATCTGGAAGCTGGTCGATTTTATCACAAACAATCCAGTATTGACCTGTGCCAGGGATAACCTCTAGTCCACCTGAAAATAATTTTCTTCAGCTATTAATGAGAAAAATTTACTGTTTTTGGGATGGGAGGCGGTGCGTATGCAATAGCAATTTCTCTTGTATTAATACATGATGTTTTGTTATTGTCTAGAAAATCCAAAAACAAACTCGAGTCTGTAAAAATTAAAACGCCTACACCTGGAAACCTGGCCAAATTTAAGGAATATAAACGCCCATTATAGATCAGTTATGCCTTGGTGGTTCCAGTGGTTCAAATCTGGTTCCAAATCCAAATTTACAAATTACAGGCCTCTAAGTCGTCTTTCTTCCTTTTCTAAACTTTTAGAAAAAATTATTGCACAACAGATATTGAGATATCTTAACAAGTATAAGTTACTCTACTCTCATCAGTATGGATTTAGACCTGGGCATGATACCGAACAGCCAATTTTGCAAATTCTAGATAAAATATATTCTTGTCTAAATGAAACAAATAGTCCTGATTACTTATTGGGAATATTTCTTGACCTAAAAAAAGCATTTGATACTGTAGATTATGATAGTTTGCAAAATAAACTTGAACATTATGGATTTAGAGGCACAACTAAAAACATTGTTGACCATAAACCTATCTCCTAGCCCCACTCTCACGTCATGTCGTCTTTACCGGCCAAAATCCAAACCAAACAATTTCTCCAACTTTACCTTTCTACACAGACAATCACCGACACCCGCCTATTGTTTACATACATGGTTCAAGGATCTGTTTTAGGACGTCTTCTGTTTCTTTATTTAAATAAATGATATAGCAAAAGCAACTAATTTTTTACATCCCTGTTTGCGGATGATACAGGATTGTTTATGTCAGATATTAGTCAATTTGATCTTATTGATAGATCCAATATTGAACTTAGTAAGGCAGCACTTTTATTCAAAAGTAATAAACTAGTATCAAACGTTAAAAATATATAGTATATAATGTATAGAAAGAGAAGCATGAACATATCTGCCACTTTACCAGATGTTAGGATTGGTGGAGTAGGAATTAATAGAAGTGGGGAAGATAGTGAAGAAAAGTTTTTTAAATTTGTAGGATTACACCTAGATGAACATCTCTCATGGGATTATCATCTTAGTAAACTGAATAAAAAGTTATCTAGTTCATACTTTGCTCTTTATACCGTAAAAAATATACTACCTTTAAAAATAAGTAAAACTATTTACAATACACTTTTAAAAAGTCACATGGAATTCGGAATAACATGTCGGGGGTGCTTTTAAGAATATAAAAATCGAGAATATTGATAATGTTCAAAAAAGGGTATAAGAGCAGTTTCAAATTCAAGTTTAAAAGCGCATACAATTTCACTTTTTGGCAAACTAAATATTTTGAAACTGCATTAATATTCTTCAATTGAAAGGTTCAATTTTTATGTACAAATACTTCAATGAACGACTTCCTAAATCGTTCAACGATATGTTTTGTGCTTTGTCTCATCAAAACCGAACAAAATGCTTAAGATTAGAAAGACCAATAGGAAAAGTATTAAAACAATTTCCTAAAGTTTTCCTACCACAAATATGGAATTTATTGTCAGTAAAAATAAAAAACTTGTGTTTTTTAAAAAATGAATTGCATGTGGATAAAACAAATATGTATCTGCGATTTGAATGTTCAAAATCAAACTGTTATTCATGTATTTCTGAATAAATAGATGTGCCATCCTAAGTTCTGAGCTATAGCTTTTGATTCTGATTGAGCTACATAAAGCCCCCCCTCCCCCTCCCCCACCTATTAGATGAAACACTTCCAATTGCATGATTTAACAATAATGTCATACAAAAACATCCGGGTTTGCCATTAAAGACGTTTGTGTAAAAAAAATATATCTTTGAGTTAATTTTCTTAACCTGTTCATGAACAACTAACTAGTAATAGTAAATTACGACGCAAAAAGTATTTTCTAGTAGTCTCCAAATATACTGAAAAAGCTATGATGGAAAATAGGGATATTAATACCATCTTTAATTCCCCCTATAGTAAAATACAATATCTCAAGATATTATCTATTTCATTCAAAACCTTGAGCATAATGCAATATTCAAGCAACGTAAAGTCCAACAAGATAGTAAAAATAGAAAAATTGTCATTGTCAATTGGAAAATCTGACATATTGAAATTTTAAACTATTTTATGTTTTTCTTTGCACATCAAGCTAAAGAATAAAAATAAATATGTAAATAATATTATAGAACACAATGTTTAAGCTTAGTCTTAATTTATTTTGTTTTGTGTTTCTTAAGTCTTGATTATACATCATATTTTAATTCTATTCTTATACTTTTCCAAATAGATTGCCAAGTACAAAAGAGGGCAACGCAATATTTGAACACTCTCACTAAGTGCAGCTGTATTATTACGTCACAAGTGTCAACAGTTGTATGTGTCCTGGGAGACAATGTTGTCTTCCTTGTTATATTTAACACTTGTGACGTCATGTATAATTGGTCCATTTCTCTGTTGCCACCTACTGTAATTGATAATCTATTAATACTTTTTTAGTTTACGAATACTTTCTAATCTTTCTCTTTTTTTCACTTGCTTTTTCTTAATCTTGTAAGTGTTTTTTTATTTGGTTAATCATTAATGTTTCTAATAAGCTCCAACAGGTTTTATCTAATAATAAAATATATCCACATTAAGAATATTGGAAGAAGGAAGAAAAAAAAGCAAATTTTTAAAATTGATTGTTACATTACTTGTTATTTGCTTACCTTAAATTTCTAAATTATCCTGTAATAAAATTAAACTTAAATGAAAAATGTAAAATAAGCGTTTGATAATTCATCAATGTTTATTGATTTTGTTACCCCTGGAAGATAATATAAAAATATATTGTTTAATTGATTGGAATTATGCTGAAATAGATGAAAAAGCGCAGAATCAAGCTAAAGTAGCGTAAAACGCCCCTTTAACTGTAGTGAAAAAGTTATATAAAGGAAAGTATTTTTCTTTCTGGCACTTGTATCTTTTTAAATTGTTTTCCAACAACTTAAAAACAAAACAAATTAAAACTATTTTTGTATTATTTAAAGGAACCGTTCACTTATTTGGGTAATTTCGTGGTAAATGAATTAGCATATTAGCGATTTATTAGTATTTGTGTTATTTTTCAAAGATATCTATGACCGGAGAAAATCGTTTAGAATTCTGGCAGAAAGATATGATACCTTTGCATAGACATTATTTAATCGGTTTTTTTAGTAACAGTAGGCCACAGGGCAAAAAATTTTATATTTAAAAATCCCTTGAGAAATGGATGTAATAACATGTGTCGCATGCTAATATTTGTCAAAATTAAAAATAATTATTTTTCTGACTAATTTTTTATCTTTTTAAATCCTTCCTTGCACCTTTAACATTAAAGTAAAAGGTCTAATTTTTTTAAATGCGCAGGCCTTGAAAAATTGGACTAAGGACAATATCACACTCGATCTCCCCTCTCTCAACTCTAAGGACAAAATCATAAGGGGTGGGGGGGGGAGAAATTAAACCAAAATAGCCCAACTGGGAAAAGCTTATTCACATTTGTATATCAATCATAACTTTATTGTAGACCAACTGGATTTACATACCGAAAATTATTTTGTTAAAAGTTACACTGCATTTGTATCCCAATCATAATTTTACTGCAGTACAAAATGCATATACTACATTTGTAAACCAATCATAATTTTGTAAACTAATATACTACATTTGTAAACCAATCATAATTTTGTTAAAGCTTATATACTACACTTGTAAACCAATCATAATTTTGTTAAAGCATATATACTACATTTGTATACCAATCATAATTTTTAAATAGAATAAACTAACTTTACTTACCAATCATTTCGTTAATGGCGTCTGTCTGTGCAGTTGGTCCAACCAATAGACTGGAACCTTAACAATAGTAGATACTTGATTGGGTTTGTTTATTATTTTATCTAAAAACTTCATTTTCCGTCCCAAACAGCCATTTTCGTGTGATGCCATTTTTGGATTACCTTTGGAATTATATTGACCGTTAGTCAGCATACAAATTATTATAAAATCATTTTTAAAATCGCAAATTGTGTTTTTCCATTTCCATTTTTCTAAAAACCTTAGAATTTGGATCCCAGCTTTGTATTTTGATTTCTTGAGTAAGTTTTTTGCTATTGTGCCTGAATTAAGAAAAGTTTCTTCTTATTTTAAATTGTTTCTGATAAATGACAAAGGTTACAGTGCAAAGATATAATCTTTAAAGAAATTGAAAGAAAGAATGAATGACAAGCAAAACTATGTGCCTATACACAGTATTCACTCCAGAGGCGTACACAGGGCGGTGGTTATTGGGGCCCCCCTAAATCAACCAAATCTATGGTTTCCAATGGGTTTTCAGGCCTCAGCAAGTGCTTAACCGCCTCCCCCTGGACCAATACCTGTGCAGTAGTATAGTAGGTAAAAAAATCAGATTTATAATGATATTGTGTTACCTGTGTCAACAATAGCTGTACAACTTCCCTCGCAACCAATGGCGACATTATTGGATTCTATGCTGTCCATCTAAAATGTACAGTTTCAAGAAAATACGCAAATATATCCTATATTAATGCATTCTAATTAATGGCATTCCTGTACTGTTACCACGACTAGACTGGTTTGAATTTTCAGTATATATATATAGATAGCTAATAGTCTTTTAGAATTACGCGTTTACGTTGGTTCGATTATTCCATCATAAAGGATCTTTTTGTTTTTCTTAACTCAATATATATTCATTTTCCCCACTAATTAGTAAACAGGATTTTCTAATGTATGGCGATGGATTAATTAGGACTTTAAATATCTTAATTAGCATTTTTAAATAATCACGCATTGTTAAAACAGAATTATTATTAAGCTTAATTTTTAACTACTTTACAGATTATCCAATATTATTATTATTATTATTATCATTATTTTTATTATTATCATTATTATTATTATTATTATTATTATTATACCTTAATCTCCCAATATCCTTGCCTCTGAACTGGAACATAAGTCATATTTCCAGTGAAGAAGTTAGGATCAGAACCTCCAAGGATAAGCTCGCCTCCAATTTCAGCTTCAGGATCCCTAGAAAAAGATTTGTTAAATTTGTTTGGTTCATACAGTGGGACCCGTAAAATTATGAAACAATTAGACGACTGTTGATTTAACTGGTCCAAGGGTGCATGACACAATGCAATGGTGCAGTGGACACAGATCCATTTGATTAAATAAGTTGATCTTTAATCAAGTGGTTAAACTACTTGCATTTTAAAATTAAACTCACTTAATGTTTATATAAATTGTCTAAGCCTACGTTTCATCAACGTAAATTGGCATTTCCATCGTCAAAACACAGCGAGCATTTATTCAGAGCATATAGTCCTAACATCCCATAGAGACATTGTGATATTAGTTTCATTTGTGATCGGGTAAAATTAAGCCTCCGATAGAAAATAGTGTGAAGTGTTTGGTTAATTTTAACACCCTGTAAGAGAAAATTACCAAATAAGAATTGCGAGATTCATTTTTTTATTACAGAGAAACCACGATTGACGTAAACAATTTTCAAACAGAAGATAATTAATAATGATATCATGCATTCTTGATTTGACAATTTATTGTATCTTTTCTAGCGAATTAAAAATTATTGTAATTTGAGTTTTTACAGTTTTACAAATTAAATTTCAGTTAAAGAATTTCAGAAAATTCACAATATTGGGAATGTCGGTCTATTAGAGTATTTAGTAGAGTATAATATCCTCTATTTATTTCTCTGATGAAACTCCATGAATTTCTTTTACGATTGGAAAGACGAACGAAATCTTGTTTCTCATCAACTACATTTTTAAATCAATCTTTCTTTGAATTCTTAAACGTTTACTCCATTTTTAAATCAATGGATCACTTAATTTTATAAAGTCGTTTAAATTAAAAAAATAATCACTCGATTTTATTTTACCTGATCGATCATATTGTTAAAGACAGGTGTGACTCCAAGGACGGATATCTGAGGGAAACCCATTCCAAGGATTCCATCAAACCTGAACAATCATGTTTGAACTATTTAAAGCGGGTTCAATCAATTGGTGGATTTTGTGGATTTCTAAACAATAGATTTTTATTTTTAAAGCTACAAATTCAGAACAGAAAATGTTGCAAAGATATAATACTTTAAAATTTGAGTTCGTGGTATAGACTCAATTCCTTTTCATCAAAAATCACGAACTTCATATTTTGATGGTTATAAATATTTAATAGTTTATAGATGAAGAAAAGTCTTAATTAATGAGGGAAACATTGTCCAAATTCTGTATTTTAGAATTCACATTTTCTTATCTTTTCAGAACAAATTTAATGAAAACGTAAATGTGAGTTCTTATCTGTAGTTTCTCTACGTACTTAGCTGCTACGAATGATATTCCTGGTTCATGAGTTGCCTCGGCAAAGGTCTGATCAGTTACACAAACACCAGCAATGCAGGTCGAATCAGTGGACAAGAATCCTTAAATATTGTAAATGTAAAAAATCTGACATGCTATTTTTTTTAGCAGGGCTAAAACTATTAAATGTATTTATCAAATTGCAAAAATATTTTTTGTACATAGAAAAAAAAACATTTTTTTTTCTTCAGATATTAATTTAAAAATATTTATGCTTTTACTTTCCAAAATTATCAGAACATTTATTGACAAATATAAGAACCTGACATGCTTCCAGATCTAAACTGTTCTAACCTGACATGCTTCCAGATCTAAATTGTTTTAACCTGACATGCTTCCAGATTTATACTATTCTAATCTGACATGCTTCCAGATCTAAACTGTTTTAACCTGACATGCTTCCAGATCTAAACTGTTTTAACCTGAAATGCTTCCAGATCCGTACTGTTCTAACCTGAAATGCTTCCAGATCTAAACTGTTACAACATATCATGCTTCCAGATTTATACTATTCTAACTTGACATTTCCAGATCTAAACTGTTCTAATTTTACATGCTTCCAGATCTAAACTGTTACAACTTG